CGGGACTGATCAGCGATCCCAAAGCTGTCTTTTGGAAGGGTGGACCTCTTCTGAAAAGGACACCAATGTATGGATTGCAGTTGCTGGGGCTACCCTCCAGAGCTGGAGACTACATTTGTATGGATTGCAGTGCTGGGGCAAGTGCTGGGACCAAGCAATTTGAGAATTCCAGTGCTGGGGTTTACCTGTTGTGGGATCTCGGGTGCCGGGGCTTACTTACTATTGCAGGGATTGCAATGTTGGGGCTAGGACCAACCATTTTGATATTTCCAGAGCTGGGGCTACCTGTTGCAGGAACTCCACTGCTGGGGCTAGCGGCTGTGGAACTCTAGCTAGTGCTCGGGATTACGATTGGTATCAACCTTTCGATTGATACTCATCCACGGCCGCACAATGTCTCAGCTCCTGATCAGGTGTATGGTACTGGGGGAATGAAAGGAATCGTTGATACAGCAGAAACGTATATCTTTGTGTTACCCTTGCCTGCCTTTTATCTTTTGTATGTTGTATGCAGCAGTCTGTTTGGGCATGCGGATATGATCAGAGTAAGCGGTGTGCCTTGGATCTTTGCTTCAATGTCGCCTGGGATTTTTCGACATTAGTTGTGGTTTCGCCGAGTTCGGTAAAACCAGAGCGCTAATGATCAATCGTTGTTTGCGCTAATGATCAATTCGTTGTTTGCCCTTTTGTAAGAATCATTTGCTTCAATGGATTCGGGCCTGTCTCAAAAAGTCATTGCTGCCTCTTCTCCGCCATCTATACGGATTACGGAGATCGACTCGACTGCTTCCGAGTGGGCGGTGCGCATTTTCGCCCTACAGCGATTTGCTTTTTGCACAGCTGGAGACGTCGCCGACGTTTTGGTTCTCTGCTTCCAATGAACTCTCGAGGTATGCATGGCCGCATCCAGCGAATTTCCTGTTCTGCTATACGTGACGTGATTGCCCTTTAGAAGTGCCAGCAAAAGCAAGTCGTGAACATTTTTGCTTAGTTAGTTTGATGTAGCTTAGCTAAGTCGGAAATGGAGGAAGTGTTGCTGTTGCCAGAGTCTGGATAGTTAGTGCGCGAATGAATCGAATCGATCTCCAATACGCAGTGATCTACCACCTTTCCGGAGCAGGCTTGTTATTATTGTGGTATCCTCTGCCAGATTTGTGCCCCGAATCTCGCCCACCTCTACCTCCTCTCCCAGAACCACGGCCTCCTCTGCCCCCACCACCACTATGTCGACCTCTTCCTCCTCCACCTCTTCCTCTCCCGCCAGACGCCGCTGCCAGTAACGAGGACTTGTTGTTGGTATTATTGTTGTTGGATGATGATTGTTGCTGTTGTGCTTGTCGACTCAAACTGCTTCCCTTGTTATTATTGTTGTTGTTGTTATTGTTGTTGTTTCCACTACTACGTCGTCGTGACAATTTGACCGTTCCATTGGGTTGCAGTGTTCCATGGGCATAATCTCCTTCTTGTTCGTCGTCAGCATTATCGTCGTCCAAATCGTCAATGTTGAATCGGTATTCGACGGAATGTCCTGCGTTATGTTGTACGACAGTTTTCTTGGGCGAGGCTGCCTTTTTGGCCTGACTAACGGGGCTGAGAGACAATGACCCTCCCGTGGCGACCACGGCTCGTTTGAGTGAGGAAGTGGATCCATGTGTTTCATGAGTTTCGTGTGATCCATGCGAATGCGTATCGTCATCGTCGGTATTTCGTTTTTTGGCTCCCTTGAATCGTTCCACTTGCGGTTTTTTCTTTAGAATTTGTACTTGAGGACTGTGATTGTGATTGTTGTTGTGGTTGCTGTGATCACGCCAACTGTTGTTACTGTTGCTGCCGTGATGAGTATGTGGCTGGTGATGAGGATCTGACGCCGCTGCAGCTTGTAGGGAACTAGTGTTGAGTGATGAATTGCTTTCGTCCAAGGTCTTGACGGCGGCCTATAAAAACAGATTGATTTGTATGAGTAAACAATTGATGCAATGATCAGGCAGGCACTTGTCAAGCAGAGTGATTTCATAGTATACGATATCGTATGCATACCTTGAGAGCTTGTAGCTGTGTTTTCCTTTTTTGATTTCTTTCTTCCTTAAGGCGTGCTTCTTCTTGTGCACGTTTCTGTTTAGATTCGATTTCCTCTTGCTGCTGTTTGGCTCTGCGGGAAGCCATCCAATTGCTGCCATCCACTGGGGCGTCTTTTGGTTATTACAAGATGAGGTAAGGTAAGGTAGCAGGATAGGTAGCAAAAGAGATAGAAAGAAAGACCGAGTAAGTGCCTCAGTTTGGATCAGATAATCACTATGGCTAGCTGTAGCTCGTAGCTCTTGCTAGTCATCAATTGCATAGTAGACTTACTGTCCTGTTTTCCAATTTTGGACTGTTGCTTTGCCATTTGCTTCCAATCTTTGGATTGGCCTCCTCTGCCACCTCCGCCGCCGCCTCTGCTATTTCTTCCTCCTCCTCCTCCTGATCTTCCTCCTCCTCCATGTGCACCAGAGTTACCTCCTGATCTCCCTCCTCTTCCTCCTCCTCTTTTATCGTTATGATTGTCGTAACTGTTGTTGCTGTTGCTATTAAAGCTGTTGTTTTTGTTTCTGGATCCTCTCAGTCCTTGTCCTTGTCCTGCTGCTTGCTGCTGCAAAGAAGGCTTTGGTTTGTTGGCATTGGCATTGGCATCTCCCCAAGAATTCTTTTTGCCTGCATCCTTAGGTGGAGGTGGTTGCTGCTGCCGTTGCTGCGGTGGCTCTCGCTCATCTTCGGAGGAATCTGATTCGTCTCCCCAGCCCATCTTGGCTTGGCTTATCAAAAAAAAGGAAAACCTTGGGGTATAATGGGTATAATTGGTAGGTAGGCAGATACCCTTAGGCTTAACAATGCTCAGCTTGCCTGTCTTGTTTTGATGATGATGATGATGGTCAGACTAGCTAGACTAGCAAAGATCTTCTCAATTGCTGTTCTGATCTTCCTGATCTTCCTGATCCTTGACCTGATTAAATCACCCTGGATTGCCTGGCTTTGCCACTTGTGTTTTGATTAGCTCAGAGTTCAATTGGCTTATAAGGAAGCTTGTCTATAGCTGAACGGCTGGGTTTGTATTGACACCTGTAACTGTGGCGTTGAGGTTCGTTCGTTCTTGTTACGGCTGTACGCTGTGTGTTCGTTTTTGTCAAAAGTAAGTGTCCACTGTGAAGCTGTGAAGAGGTCATTGTGAAAGAAAGATCTCAATCAGCGTTGATGGAGAGGACAACAACGTGTGAGAGCGGGCACTGACGCAAAAATCCAAAAGATACCATGACATCACATTCATGACTTGACTTAGCTGGTGCATAATCGAAGGGGGTCTTAGTTAGCATACATACATGTAGGCAGGATATCTACTACGGCAGCCAACAAGGGCCAGGCTTTTAGGCAAAGAAGGGTTGGAATTCAGGACTTGGGTCCGCGGGATCAGGGGAGATAAATTGAGGACCAACATGGGGCCTAACTACAGATCATGGTAGAAATCCTGATAGCTAGCCAGCAGCCAGCTATTTTAATTAATAGATTGATGACAGAGAACCCATTCTGGAAAAGGCATCAGAGGACAGCAAGCTAGTAGGGAGACTGGAAGGTGGAACTGATCAAGAAGTCACAGATAGATACCCCTAACTAATGCCATCAAATTTGGGTTCAGAATGCACAACAATTCCTGTGCTGAACATTGGCCCACTACAGTCGTACATGCAGCAAAGGCCAGCACCAACCACAATGTTGACAGACCAACGAAAGGAGCCTTTCTAAAGAATAGAGTACTCCAGCAAGGCGCCCCGACTGCCAACCATTGCAGGTTGAACCAGACAAAAATGGACAAGCCGAATTGAAATGATCAATCGAATGATCTCTTCGGCTGGTTTCAAGAGTGACATCAAGATCGGGAGTGATCGCAAGATCGCAGAGATATCAAGTCCCGTGGATAAGCACTCGATGGGATCATGGGGATCAGCCATGCAACACTCCGCACATCCACATCACCTCGAGCTTTGCATTCCTGTCCTCGACCACCATGCCCTCGAGTTACCACTGCATCCACTGCCTGAGTCCGTCTGATTCTACCCACCGTCAATTCGGTCGAGAAATCAAACTGACAAGCTGTTCCCAGTGTGGTCAGAATGTGGATCCTTACGTGGAACGTGACGGATTGTTGGTGGCCATGGATTGCCTGCTGTTGCGAGAAGAAGCATATCGCCATGTCTTGTGCAACCACCCAATTAGCACTTATATCTCTACCCGAACTGATCTCTTCTTGCAGTACCGGTATTCAGTGGCATCAGCTGTCGTCCTGGGGTATCTTTTGACCACGAGCACAAGTACTACCAGTACCAGTACAAGTACTACAGGTCTTTTGTTTCTCACATTGCTCGTACAACTTCTGGGTCTGCAAGAAGAATCTCCAAACCACTCTTCCTCGTCGTCATCGTCATGGTGGGCACCCTTACTGTTGTGTGCCTATTCCTTTTGTGGAAATCTCCTCTTGACCGTGGGAATTCAAGGGGGATACTCTGCCTTGGCACGCATCATGGGAGGAAGCCAACATCAAGGGTGGCACAATCTAAGTTCGCGACTGTACCTAGCCGTCCTGCTTCCTACCGCCTTTCATGTCAATACAATCCTGGTATTAATGGTCTGGGAAAACGACAACACGGCCATTGTACGGCAACTAGCCTCGCTGTTGGTGTTGAACTATCAGTTCTTAATGTCCACGGTTGCCATGCAGTTGCAATGGGCGACGTCGTCACCTGTGAATAGCAACAACAAGGAACCTATCTACTACACATCACCATTGGATATTCGGTGGTTGATTGCGTTTGGTACAGGACTTGTGCTGCGTTCTGTGGGGTGTGCCTTCCTGCGTTGGCTTGTGGCTAGAACAATAATTCAAGGACAAGAAGACGCCATGGATATCCCTTGCATTCTAGGTGTGAGTGGCAGTGATCTGCATAGTAGTTTTGTGGAGGGATGGGGGTTCTGCATCTTCTAGCTAGCTAGCTCATCTATAGCTCGAATAACTCTTCAACCATCATTTTTCTGTAGAACGCACAACCTGTGATCTACCACTAATATACCATGTTCTATTCTATGCATTTGGGTTTCTAGCTAGCTAGCTGGCTAGGACTTGTTGGCTTATAGTTCTTTTGTATGGTTGCTACATGTATGTTTACAGTACTTGCAAGTCCAGCTTCCGAGAGTACTGGCGCTGTCGTGACTTCGGAGATCGAGCAAAACACAAGATCGCAAAGATCAAGTCCCGCGGACAAGCCACTAGCTAGGATCCGAAGCAAGCGTCCATTCGTGGACACCAAGTTCACGCTCCTTGTAGGCTCGAGACGGAAAGTAGTCATAAAGTTTGCTTTGCTTTCTTAACACATTACCACCATCGGATAGATTCCCATCATAATCATGTCGCCCGCAACTATTGCTAAGAATGGCGGATACGTTCGCCTTACAGCCGAGGATGATCCCGCTGGCTCCGATTGTGGTCCAACCGAGAAGAAGGACTTTCACTTTCCCATCTTTACGGTTCTGTCGGTTCTACTTGTGCTGGTGGGAGGAACAACAATGATCCATCATTGCGCCACTAGCAGGCATGGCTCCTTCGGCAGTTGTTCCGGCGAAGGCGCCTGTGAAGGCAACACCGGAACCATTGGATTCGGTGCCTGCAATGGAGAACACGCTTGTCGCTTCAATTCCGCAAGTATCTCTTGGGGCGCTTGCAATGGTGATGGAGCTTGTGGCTCCAACCAAGGACCCGTCAAACAGTTTTCCTGCAATGGCGATGAAGCCTGCAGCGGCAATAGCGCCCCCGCGATCATGTGGGGATCGTGCAACGGCGACGCTGCTTGTCAGAATAATAGCGGACAGATCGAGAAAGCATCTTGCAATGGTGACAATGCATGCCACGGAAATTCCGACCATATTGGTCCTGGAATGTGCAATGGTGATAATACGTGTCCCGGAAACAGCACCACGGTGGAGACTTGAATGAATGAACGACAAAAATGCTGAATTATGAATTGAATCGATGGTTTGAGCTACGCTGTGTGCTCCCTTCCAAGTTTAAAAGCTTACCAGGTAGAGAGATCTAGGTGGACATCAATGAAGTAGGAAACACTAGAAACAAAAGCAGTATCACATATATTAGACTCCTCTGATTTGAACTTGTCGTGACTGTCCGTAATCCCAGTAGCTACCGGTAGAAGGCTTGCTGGAGAGAAAAAGAGATTGGATTCCTAGCATTGGTCGCCAAATAGTTTTTGACAGCTCAAATGCTTTTGCAAAAAGATCTCGAGCGAATCGAATCTTGGGGATAAGGCTAAGTTTTGATGACATCAGTTTCGTCTGTCCTTTGTCCGATTGATAAAGTGCCGACCATGGCAAAGCAGCAAAACCATCTCCATTTCTCAGCGACGGCTCTTCCAGTACTAGCTAGTATAGTCGTCAAGTAGAACGATGGCGTCTTCTCGTGTGACCTCCGCCTTGGCTCCTCTGTTGCGACGCTCTGTGGTAGCTAGTCGTCATGCTTCGGCGCTTCAACGAGGCGGTGGAACTCCGCCGATGCCTCCGTTTGCGAGGATTCCTCCACCCACAGAACCGGTAAGCCATATACTGTATCGTCGTACCGTACGTGTAGTAGCTAGCGATCTATCTTGCAGTGAGAAGAGGAGAGGAATAGAAGGAAGAGAAAAAGTGCTACGGTAGCTAGCCATGGAGGAGGGCTCTGATGGATGGTGCCAGGACTACACTACTGTATCTACAGTAGCTACTGCAGCCCCTGCCAAGATAGGTGTTGCTCTGTGATTCAAATTGTTTGGTTTTAAGACTGATTATCACAATAAAATGAAGATTCCACTTCATGTGTCAGGATTGGAATGAGAGCAGCCTTGAGCTATCATAGCTATGGCTATGACCATGTTTTTTGCTGTGCCCAACCTAGATCTGGAATTCTCACACACCTCTTGTTCCATTTTACCATCATTATTTATTGCTTTGTTTGATTTATAGCTAGCAGAAAACAACGATGCCATTTGGGATGACGGTGTAGCCCCGGAATTGGCATTGGATTTTGACATGCCGCACATGAGTTCTCGAGAAGCTCTTGGAACTTGGATGTTGGGCTTTGGTACCTTTGCTGTCTTCTTCCAGTTTCTCAAGGTGGTCTTTGACCCGGACGTGGACAATCCAGCCATGCCTCATTCCACCATGCTCGTTGACAAGGATCATGGAGATGTTGGAGTTGCCAGGCCCACCAATGGAAACCACTAACTACGCACAGTACTGATCATGCACCGTGGCTGCATGGCTACCGGGAGCAGATTTTAATCTGAACGATCTACCACCATTGTTGCATGGCGCATAATATACGTGTGATTTATACCGAATGGCATAATGCTAAGAGTACAGTTTACTTTTAGGGACTTTTGCGAACTACTCGAGGCTAGCTGGTTGCTATGCCATAGATGACGGCTCAGCTCCGTTGAGGGAACAAATCGTCCTTGAACCGTTCATTATTAGATTGCCTTCTGTCAATCGTCGCTGGTGAGGAGTTCGTGCTGCATGCACAAGAGCGTGTCTCCGCGAGTCTCAACCCCGACAGTGTTCTTTCCTTCCCTTCTCCTCATCCGTCTACCGATAGACGTCCATCCTACTTGATTAACTCGTCGCTGCACAGTAGCCTTTGTTATGCAACATGAATCGATATAGCATTACTAGACTACGGTCTTACATCGTGGGCGGAAAAGACTAAGGTGGGCCAAAGACTCAATTGTAGCCCGGAACTGGATTGTCGCTCGGCTCAATTGGTCTCCTCCGTCTTTCATGTCGTTCTTTCGTGCCACATGCGTCGTTGCGGTTCACGTTCTGTCGTTCTCCAGGTTAGCAGTCATACTGCAAAACTCAGGATGCTTTCCAGGCTCATCACGAACTGGGGGTCGTCCCAGCAATCGAGAATCGTCGCAGTCTTGTTTCAGTCATTGTGGAACTGTCGCTCCCGATGCATATTGCGGGCTTCTTCTTGTGCTTTGCGAGCTTCTTGTATGCGATCTTGTTGCGTATGGTTTTGCTGGTGTGGAGCCTCCCCTGTATTCTGCAAACGGTCCAGGGCAGCCCTTGCGTATAGGACCGGGAAATTGGTCAGCAAATGGTCCAGAATATCTACCCTATTGCGGTAGGCAACCAAAGCCAGTACACTCTTGTGGAGGGATGGACTGTCATCACCCAAAATAGACTTGGCACGAACAATACCAGTTCGATATCGAAGGCCCCGTTTGGTTTTGTCATCCAAGGGAAACTTCAAGTACATTGGCACGCCATGGCCGAATTGTTCCCCACGTATATCCTTTAGTAGCTTGATGTTCCTTAGTTTTGTCAGTTTGGAAGAATCCTTGACAAGATTCAGCACTGGTTCAAATGCATCCATTAGTTCAGCATTTACAACCTTTCGGACGCAAAAGACGATCTCCTCCAGATTGGGAAGTCGCGCAATGAGCCATGCCCACATCTTTAGTTGAGACACCGTAAACTGCATGTGTAGAAAACTGAGTTTCTTCAAGTTGGTTGGTCCATGTACTTGGATGGCATCGACAAGAGGTTGCATGGTTGTCGTACTGGTATCATTGCCGCCAGCTTGTTGGCTTGGATCTTCGAAGATTACATTGTTGAAAGTCAAGGACTCGAGCGCTGGCAATTGTTGAATCAGATTGGCAACCGGCCCGAAATCCGATCGGAGATTGATTTGGATTTCCAATTCACGCAAGTGAGGCTGCGATAATGGAACTTGCTGAAACAAATTCGGAATGTACGGCGTGAAGAAGCACAATGTCAACTTGTTCAGTTTGCCCGGAAGATGCCGGACAAACTCGGCCATGTTTTTGTCTTCTACACTGGGCTCGTGAACTCTATAGGGCATTCCCATAATGGCCAGAATCTCGAGATGATCCAGGTATTCCAAATGTTTCATCAGTTCTTCTCGAACGGGATCTCCAATGTGGATCACCAGTTCACGAAAGCGGTTTCGGTCAATCGACTCGAGGACACGTCGTAACTGTTCCGGTGTCACCGCGCCGATGCTTCCAGCGCAACTGGCATAGAACTTTTCCATTCGTAGCGCACCACCAGAATTAGATACTTGTTCAATGTTGAAACATGGCAGATCTTCCGCAACAATCTCTTGCATATTGGGGGAAGCCAACGTGGCCGCGACCTTGGCGGGAACGCCGATGGACTCGAAGAAGGATTTCCTCAGTTCGTTGGCCATGGTCGTCATATTCAGCTACGGCACGGAAACGAATGCGATGTAGTTAAGATGGAAGTGTACAGAGAGATTCTTTTGGTCTTCCCTTTCTCTTGCTCTGCAAATTGAGAGAGTTCGTCTCATGCTTTTCTCTCTCACTAACGGAGATCGAACTCTTCGTTTTGACCGTTGTTTGTTTTCGGGGGTGCGCTCGGGATCAATTTTCGCGCACCTCCACCAAGTCCGCTGAGCTGTAATTGTGAGAAATGCCAAACGTGGATTGCCACGGACGACGCTCGAGCTCAGGCCGACATCCAAATCCGAGAGGAAGCGCTCAATTGCTGTTGCCAACGTCGCGTTGGCAACTTGAACCCTCACAATCTTTCCATTTCCTTTTGCCTAGACAACAGCACAGCCTCGAAATGACGAGGCAGAATTTCCATCGCCCCAAAGTCAAAACGTTATCCGCCAAGACGGCAGCCTTCTTCTCGCGTTCCAGGCCACGCAAGAATGATTCTGTTGTGAGGCCCGACCACGGCGACTCTCTCTCTGTTCGAATTCACAATGACCTGCCGGGTCTGAAGGAAGCCATAAGAGCTCTTGAATCAGGATTCTATGATGAAGCAGTTATTACTAGAGTTCATGTTACAAAGGGATATGAAGGACCACCACGACACAGGCTCCACTCCAGGTTGCTAGCTGCTATCGGCCAACTCCCCAACCTCCAGGAGATTTCCATTCAAGGTGATGCCAACAATTGGCCCCAAGACCTCAATATACCAGCCAGAGCCATTAAAAAGTTGTTGCTAGACAGCAGACAGACAATCCGCAAAGTGTCCTTTCAATACATCCAAGTGCTGACGCGAAAGGGCCAAGACCCTGACCTCCAGGATAGCCCAGAGCTCGTTGACTTGTTTGATTCTCTGAAGGAGCTCCAGTGCTTGGAGCAATTTGAGATCAAAAACTGCAGCCAGAGCTATGTTCTGGAAAAAGGCATCATCTGCCGCAATGGTGACCGTTTCCTCAAAAGTGTTTTAGGACCATTGGCATCAATCCAATCATTGACAAGAGCCACATTGCACCATGATTGCTGGGACCATCTGAATCCTCGGGAATTACAACAGGTACTCTGGAACTGCTTGCGACTTGAGGAACTGGTGCTGACTGGCTTTTCCATAGGGGCATATGACTGGGGCTGGATTGTACCCGTTATATTACAACGTGCTCAGAATCTCAAAAAGCTGCACCTCCATCACTGCTACCTGAGTGCTGACTGCTTGGACGTCTTTTTGCAGTTAATGGGCCCCAATTCACCTCTAGAAGACTTTGAGTTCCTGCCATCACTGAGGCGACATGTACCAGACACTTTGGGCAACCTCTACTATATTGGTGCGACCCCTCAAAGCATCCGCCATGATGACGAGGATGGAGAGCCCACCAGGAAGAGGTTGCTGTGCCAAGCCATCCCCACAGCACTTGAATCCAATACCAAACTACAGAGATTGAGGATCAAAGCAAAGGGAAGCACAAACTTGTTTGTTCCTGTTGAGGTCCAACAGCCCTGGTTGGATCTTCTTGAACGGGGTCACAATACATCCTTGCAGGACTTTGGTTTCTGGAGAGATGATGGCCAGTCATTCCATTATGAAGATGAAGAGATGGCAGCAAGATTTGAGCACCACCAAAAGCTCATGCGATTTGGGATTGGGAAGCTGAAGGGGGAAGAGCGAGACCAAATCATTGTCGATGTTTTAGCTGAGGCAACAGAGGATGTCTCCTGTTTAGTTCATATCCTCCAGCAGTATCCTTCTCTTTGCACAACAGCATGAAGAACATCAGGCAATAGAATGCGGCTGCACCGGACAGGGGTTGGGCGTGACGCAAAGCCTCCAGGAGGGGGGATGTTATCCCCCACCAAAGCCGACGGGTGAGGGCTTAGTTGTCATGACCTGGGCCTTATACCGGTACATGCAAGTAGCAAAATACTAAACTAGTCAGTCAGGTCAAACCAAGCTAACATAGACAACGACAGCTTCCATGCGAGAGTGAGACACGGGTCAGGAAGCCGCTTTGGCATCATTGGCTGGATCGAGCTTTGGCCGGGCGCAGTGCGTCGTCATTGCTCCAAGCTTCCAGCCGAATTGAATTGAATCACAATCGAATTGATTCGATTCGGCTCAGATCGATTTTCTATGCTGGTTTCGGAAATTGTGGTCTTGCATCGTGTTTGGGTGTTTGCGACCGGCCTCGGAAGGGAGATCTGCATGCGGTCATACGGCCACAGATTGCTCACGACAGCGACACCCCATGACCTGGAAAGTCTCCCCCAACAGTACTAGTACGCAATACCCAAGATGATGAAACCGAATCTGAAGCTTCGCAAGGTCAAGGCTTTGACTGCCAAGAAAGCAGCAGCCTTCTTTTCTCGGTCCAAGCCACACTCATCAACCTCCACCTCAATATCAGCACCCAAGGCACCAGCTGGTGATTGTCTGACTATCAGCATTGGTCACGACATGACGGCGCTAAAGGAAACCATAAGAGCTCTTGAATCAGGATTCTACAGTGAAGCATCTACTAAAGTTCACATTACAAAAGGAAAGGAGGGTCCTCAGATGGACAAGCTCTACTCTAGATTGCTGGTCGCAGTTGGCCAACTCCCCAACCTTCAGGAGCTCTCCATCCAAGGAGACGCCAATGCACGGGTAAATGCCCCCATTCTGCCCGTCAAATCCCTGAAGAATTTGTTGCAAGAAGCAGCCCAAACAATTTGCAAGGTTCACTTCCAGAACATAATATTGCTGACTCGCAAAGAATCTGATCAGCTTATCCACCCAGAAATCAGCAATTTCTATAAATCTCTCAAGAAGCTCCACTGCTTGCAAGAATTTGATATCACTTCCTGCTTCCAAATAGAGTCTCTAAACTGTGGTATCAAAATCCAGAGTGAATTGTCTATTGCATCCCTTTTAGGACCACTGGCATCCATTCCATCCCTTAAAAGAGTTGCCTTGAGCCAGAAAAGGACAGAACGTCTGGAGCCTTCACTTCTACGGAGTCTATTCCAATCATGCCCATGTCTGGAAGAGCTTTTGCTCACTGGCTTTTCCGTTGAAGAATCTGATTGGGACAGCATTGTACCGTCTATACTACAATATGCAAGGAAGCTCAAAATGCTTCACCTTGAACACTGCTGCCTGGGTGCGAGAAGCTTGGATATCTTTCTTCAGTTGTTGGGCCCAGAATCACCACTGGAAGATTTTGAGTTTATGCCCATCCTTAGTGACGACATGTTGGGCTTGGGACACACCCGACAAATCTCCGCGACTCCCCAAGATGAGGTCACCTGGAAGAGGTTGCTCTGCGACGCCATTCCCACAGCACTCGAGTCCAACACAAAACTTCAGAGGTTGAGGATCAAAGCAAAGGGTGATGTCAACTTGTTTGTCCCTATAGAGTTCCAGCAACCATGGCTGGATCTCATCATGGAACAAGGTCGCAACAATTCACTGATCGACTTTGGGTTCTTGAGGGATGATGGCCTCTGCTTCCATTACGAAGATGAAGAAATGGCAGCAAAGTTTGAGCACTATCAAAAGCTCAGACAATTTGGAATTAGAAAGCTAGAAGCCTTTACTGACACCGAGGAAGAAGAATTTGATCGAACGACTCTCCAGGTCCTGGGCGAGGCGTCAGGGGATGTCTCATGCTTGTTTCATATCCTCCAGCGTTATCCTTCTTTATGCACAGCCGCAGCAAAGATAAATTAATTGTAAACGTCAATTATAAACGACAATTCCAGATCAAATTATCCTGAGCAAACCATCATAGCGGGATGATTGGATACAGTGTAATTTCGGGCTGCGACAAAACCAAACATTAACGAGAACAAAGCTGCTCGTACGAATTCTGTGTAGATTAGGTATTAGGAGCAGCGTTTCGCGTGCGAACACCAAGGCTGCGAGCTTTGACCTCGTCGCCGGATAAGGGCTTTGGTCATGTCCCGTTCGATCAACAAGGGGCACGCGAACCCTGATCACCAGATCTATGCGTGGTGGGCCGTGCTGGGCTCTGCGTTGTTTTCGCTTTGCTGCGCGTCGGCTTGGCCTCTTCCAAGAGTCCAGACCTGACCCATCCTTTGATTGATTTCGCTGGCAAGATCAGCAACTACCTTTTTCTTCTTGGCCATGCTGGGGGCGGCTACGTAGGGCTTCAACAGGTCATCCACAAAACCCACATGGAATTTGACGGTGGATTGCTTCCTCTTGCCTCCACGGGTCCATTGGTCAACCATCTCGTGATCGAAGATGCATTCTTTCCATCGCTCGTCCATACGGCCTCGCAACGTGTCCAGCAACTCCTTCACACCCTTTTTGCAGCTCGTCTTTGCTCGTTCTTTTTCCTCTCGTCTTGTAGCTTCCGCCAGTTTGGCCTGGGCGGCACTGCTTTCGTATGCTTCCACGAAAGGATGGTATTCTCGGGGTTCCGGAGCTCCTTCCAAGAGCACTACGCACAGGAGGGCCTCTTCACCCACGTCGCCCTTTGCGTGGTGTTCTTTCACGTTGTCTATTTGCCCCACTGTGATCAATGGTCCGTGGGTCTCACCAGAAGGAGAAACGAGTTCCTTGCACCAAAAGTGAAGGCGTTTCGACATATGGCGCCAATGGATGTGTTTGGCCACACGCGAATGTTGCAATATGACCTTGGCAAAAGTCTTTCCCCACCGAGAGGGAAGGTATCGTTTGTCCACCATCTGCACGTGCGCAGTGGGACGCTCTTGTAGACTGCCAATGCATGGCCAACACAAGTTCACACCCCAAC